AGTCCCCTTGTACCTCCCCCCCACAATTACCACACTATCGTTCATGTCAATGAGTCCTTTTTCCTTTTTGCTCAATCCCTCCCCACCTTAGCTGTCAACCTGCTCTCTATCTATGAGTCTGTCTCTATTTTGTTTGTTCATTAGATTCTACATATGAGTGAAATCATATGGTATTTGTCTTTGACTAGTTTATTTCAAGTAGCATAATGTTCTTCAGGTCCAGTCATACTATTGCAAAGGGTAAAGCTGTCTTCTTTTTTACAGCCAAGTAGTATTCCATTGTGTAAATGTCCCATAGTTTTTTCCACTCATCTACAGATGGACACTTGGGCTGCTTCCATATCTTGGTGATTGTAAACAATGCTGCAATGAACATGGGGGTGCTTATGTTCTTTCGAATTAGTGTTTTGGGTTCCTTTGGATATATTTCCAGAAATGGGATCACAGGGTCAAAAGGCAGATGCATTTTTACTTTTTTGAGGTATCGCCATACTGCTTTCTACAGTGGTTGCGCCAATCTGCAGTCCCACCAACAGTGCAAAAGGGTTCCCTTTTGACCACATCCTTGCCAGCACTTGTTGATTTATTTTTTAACATTTAAAAAAGATTTTATTTACTTTTAGAGGGAGAAAGAGGGAGAGAAACATCAATGTGTGAGATACATCAATCTTTTGCCTCTCACACACCCCAGACTGGGACCAGGCCCACAACCCAGACATGTGCCCTTGCTGGGAATCAAACCCATGACCCTCTGGTTCACAGGCCAGCACTCAACCCATTGATCCACACCAGCCAGGGCCTGAAGTGTCTTCCAAAATGCACTTGTTTAATGAGGAAAACTTAGACTATGCCAAAATATGGATTAATGTACAAAATACCTGATTAATACTTCTCAAAATAATTGAGGCTGTAAATGAGAAAAAGACAGAAATGGTCACAGAACAGTATAATCAAGGAAACATGGTGTCTAAATGCAAGACTGTATTTTGGGTTGAATCCAGGGACAAAAAAATATGGTAGTGGAAAAACTTGTGAAATCCAAGGAGAATCTGTAATTTGGTTCAATGTTAACTTGTCAATTTCACAAATCTGCATCATGGTTATATAAAATGTTCACAGAATGGGAAGTTGAATGAAGGTATATGCAAACTCTTTGTAGTAGTATCTTGTAACATTTGTGTAAGTATAAAAATTCTCCACAATAAAACTTCATTAAAAGTAGGCTATATTATATGTCAGTTATATCTCAACAAAACTGGCAAAAAAGGTATGATCTAATTTTATTGTAATTTCTCATACACATATTTCCATATTATAAAATATTTCTGTATATCTATATGTAATTAATATGAAGTGCATGTAATGTCATGGGTGAACTAGTAGCATGGTAACTAGAGTCACACAGAAGTATGCACTAAAGTGGGATATATTTGAAAAACAAAATTCAATATGTTCAGTTTATAGTATGATCCTTTCATTACTCAAATTCTTATTTTCATATTTTGTGATATGTTGGTACCTTTTTTCTTGTATGTCTCAGACACTTCCACTTACTTTTAACCCTAGGTTGTTTACAGTTTTGCAATTGAACCTGGTGTCTTTTAAAAAAAATTCATACCCTCTAAATTTTGTACTACATAATGGTTATTCATTTTAAGAGCTTTAAAAGCATAATTTATATATAACATTTACATTGTGATTTTACAATTTGTTGACATTTAGTAAGTTTAGAGTTGTGCCATCATCACCACAAATTAATTTTCAGAAAATTTTATGACATCATAAATTAATTGGATGATTGCTTTGTTACTGTTGAGTTTTGCAAGTTCTTTATATACAATATGTTGAATACAAGTCCTTTATCAGATGTATGATGTGGAAATATTTTCTACCGATGTCTGGCTCCACTCTTCACTTTCTTAGATGTTGTGCTTAGAAATACAAACACTTAAAATTTTAATGAGGTTCAGTTATTATTATTAATATGGCTCATCTTTTACTGCATTCTGTCTCTGTTGAGAACTCTATGGCTAACTCAGGTTCAGGAACATTATCTCTCGTTTGTTTCTCTCAGTTTTATACTGAAACCTCTTACACTTCAGTCTGCGATCTATTTTAAGTTAATTTTTTTCTTTACGGTTGGAGTTAAGGGTCTCAGTTTACTTTACTGTAAATAGATATGCAATTACCCCAGGATCTTTTGTTGAAAAGAATGGTCACATCGGCTTATCTTGGGACCTTGTTCAAAGCAATAGACTTTAATATTGTTAGATTCTCAATTCTGGTTTTGCCTTTCTTGTTGGCTCCAGACCTTTATTGACCTCATTTTCAGTGACCTTTTACAAAGCCCCCATCCCAGTGACAATTTCAGCTTGTCCCAGCCGCTGTTTTACCCTGGTTAATGATGGCCAGCCCCATACTGTTACCATTTTCTAAATCTTTTTCTGTTCTTAAAAATCACTTCCTGCACGAAATTTTCCGCTAGAATCTTCCCGTCGGTCCCGTTTACCCGATGTATGGCCTTTTCACTTTGCAGGATTTCATTCTTTACTGCTACATCGACGCCTGACCTCCTGACCGTTTTGAAACTTTCTTTTACAAATTTTTTTATACAAACTGAAAAATAGAGGCTGCGCCCATATGACTTTCTTGCACAGTCCGCTGAACGAGATATAGATCGCTCCGTATTTGCCTCGAGGAGTTCGAACCTCTGAGAATGATACTCATTTTCCACAGGAGTACAGTGCCAGTATAGGAGCTAATTTCAGGAGCTTCTCACCTTCTCGCTAACCCCGGCTATTGGTGCCAAAGTCGAGCCTTACCTTCTGTACGGCGGTCGTACGTCCAACATGGCGGCCCCCAAGGCGGCAACGCGTAACGGGCGCCGCCATGCTGCCTCGTGGGGGCATTCGGAAATTGCCCGCGTTTTCGCAAATGCCTCAGATCCTTGTCGACCGCCGTAAGCGGACGAAATATCTGAGCGACGCTTCCAGATGCCGAAACAGTTTGCGGAAGTGTTAAGCTTAGACTCTTCTGGTGGCTGGAAAAATCAGGTCAACGTTCTCTTGTCCTTTGAAGTTTTTAGAAAAATTTTGTCTCCTGGGAGGTTTGTCTGTCTCAGAGTACGTGAGGTCATAGGGGCGCAGTGGTGTCGTTGGACCCATGAAATTATCGGCGGGATCGGCTGGGAGGAGCGCTCAGGTATTTGGGAGCAGCCAGGTGTGACACGCCTGTCTATAGTTGGGGTACCTTTGGGATCATCAGGCAGTTAAGAGTCTGTAGACATCAGTGGCCGTGTCCCGACTGTCATGGTCTTTTCGGGTCACTCTGTAAGGGATGGAAGTTTTTGTAGGATGATGGCGGTGTCAGGTTCGGGTTCGGAATTTCACAGGGGGCTCAGTGATGTTGTGGCCAGTGTGGATGGTCATCGCGTGAGGGTGTCTGGTGTATGTTTCGGAATAATAAGGGGGTGTGTGTGAGATCGGTGTCTGTGCGGCCGGAGAGGCTCCTGATCCTGGGGATGCCCAGGAACCCGGGCTGGTGGTTGGGTGGAGGTTCCAATCTCAGCGGTTGGGACGGAACGGAATCCGTAGCATCCATTAGCTTGAGGATACGGCCATTTTTCCCTGCTGCTAAAGTTGGATTATTTGCAGTTTGGCTTCTTATGAACCATGTTCTGATGTGCCCTTGTTTTGGAAGGGAGCGGGGAGGATACAGCCTAGATATAAACCTCAGAGAAGGTGGTAGAGCCCAAGTTAAGGAGTTATAGACCCTGGTTTTTTTTTTTTTTTTTAGCCTTTTATCCAATGGTTAGCTCACTGCAGTGGGGAGACTAATGCAGCCACGCCCTTCCGTCACTCATCACCTAGCAGCTTTCAGCAAAGGCAGAACGGAGTCCTTGTGACCCGGACCTATGGCCCTCAAATCCGAAAATATGTATCTGTGCCTGCGCAGAAAATGTTTGTCAGCACCTGCTCTCACCTCTTTATATGTAACAGTGGACACTGTTGCTTATTTGCCTGAAATGGGTTCACAAGTTTTTCTTTGCTAACATAACATCCATTTTATTTATTATCTATCCCTCTGTCAAGGTGACCCATATGCCAATCTATTAGTAAGTCCAGGTCATTCTTAGTCAACAGTGATGGTTTCACTTCCCAGCACTATTGATTGATTTGCCATGAAATGAGCATGGATGCAGCTCTAGCCAACCATATATGTGAATATATGTTAGTTGTTTCCAGGAGAGTATTTTCTCTTTTAAATATGTAATTCCTTGAGTCTGAAGGGGAACAGTTCGACACGCTAAAATATGTCTCTTTGGGATATTGATTATTTTATGCTGGTTAATTTGAAGAAACTAGTCCTGGGAGAAAACCTAGTAGAAGTAACCCCTTGTAAAGGACATTTATATTGGTAAAGGCAGTCTCATGTGTGAGGGTGTCTCCCTCAATATACCAAACCCACCTTAAGTATCAGTGGAGGAAGTACAACTTATATCTGCATAATAACCTTAAGCTTGTTTACTGTGCTTTTCCTGGTAACCTACCCTAACTGACTCTGCACCCCCAACATCTTTTGACTTTAGGCAAAGGTGGTACTTCCAGTATTGCTGGCTGCCATTTTGGCCAGTTACTCCATTTTCTTGGGTCACTTCCATGTATATAGGAGGTATGCATCTTCTTAACCTTTTTTATTGTTTTTCCCCTATCAATCTGTATTATATCAATTAAATTAGTAGACCAGCCAAAGAACCTAGAAAAGGAGGAAGAGTTATTTTGCCCCTACAATATTGTTTCCCTCATCTTCTTTCACAATCAAGTCACTCCAGTTAAAACTCCATGGAACAAAGGAATACCTCCACTGCATTTCTTCTGGCTTTATTGGCCCTGAGAATAAGTACTTAGGGGACACCATATGAAGGGACACTAGTGATAATGTGGCATTGTGTGAGAGTGGGGGCTCAGGAGCAGTGTAGCATCAGGTCCCAGAGAGAATGTATCACCCATTGAATTTTCTTCCCAATCCACAGGTCCTGACTCCCCAGGAGCAATAGAATCATGTGAAGCAGGAGGAAGTTGCAGGGTTGAGTATCAGTGTGTCTGGGGACACACCTGACTGAAGACAGATTTCTGAGCAGAAATTTAGAACAGACCCAGGACACACCAAGACAGAGCCTGCCTTTGCCAGCTCTTTTCAGAGAACAAGAAAATGCTCCAGGCTCAAGTACTTCGTTTTTGTTTTATCTTTTCTTTTCTTCATTAATGGATTTGTAGAGGCCTATTAAAAATCACCTCCATTAATGAAAAAATATGTTTTACATATGTATATGTGTTTGCCTCTCAAATATATGAATGTGGTGTTTCTAGGTTAACTAGAACATTTAACTTCCTCACAGTATAGAAACTTCTAATTGTATGAATGCTTGGATGATTGAAAGCACAATTACAAAAACAGGGTGGAGAAGATGTAGGTGTACAGTTTAGAGTATGTGAGACAGAGTTGGTTGTTATAGTATTGTTTATCTTTTTGTTTATTAGTTATTGTATTATTTTCTATAGGAACAACTGTCAACCTACTTCTGCTCCACTCTTTGTTTTATTAGGCATGTAATTATTCAACTGTATCTTAAAATAAAACCCACTTGCTATATAGATGCAGCTTATAAAGTGAAAATGAGAAAAAAATTAACATTTATTTCATAGCATCTAAAGCCAATCACGCTATTAAACAGCATGATGTTGTTACAGGAATCCCTGACGTTTCATGATGTGGCCGTGGACTTCACCTGGGAGGAGTGGCAGCTCCTGGACCCGGATCAGAAGGACCTGTACAAGGACGTGATGTTGGAGACCTACAGCAACCTGGTGTCAGTGGGTGAGGACAGCTCCCTGGTGTCACTCACATGGTCCCCAGTCAGTGGATTTTCTATCCTCAGCTTCGGAAATTCGGGCATGTCTGGTTTTCTGAAGTGGTAGGTGAATCTCAATTCCTTCTCTGGCCCCAGATCGGTATGTTCTCCCTTCTCCTGAGAGAAAAGCCTTTGTTCTGCAAATGCAAAAATTGTTTTGTCTTTAAATAGCACATTCTGCTCTCTTCGCAGACCCCACGTCCTTTTCAGTTAGCCTAAGTCTTCTATCATTCCCCATGAACAGGTTATGAATCCAGCAATGCGGGCGTATTCTCCAAGTTGGATCACAGAGAAGCACTATGGACAAAGGAAGGTGAAATCCCCTGTGGAACCCGTTCAGGTGAGTTAGAGAACCAGCACGGGGTGGGCTGTGGAAATCACATTCTAGTCATTCAGAAAAGAGGCTCAGAAGTGAAGGGAGTTTGAGGATAGGTAAGCAGCGCCTCTGTCCATGTCTCTCCCAGTGAGAGAGAGCCCACTTTTTCTTTGTAGGAGTTACAGATTCCTTTATTTCTTCTGGGATATGACACTCTTTATTTTATCTGCACCTTGATTTTTTGTGCATATGGTTCTGCTTTTTAGGATTCTCAAATCTTTCCTTTCTTCACGGTCTTCTTAGACCTCTCCTGCTATAACGGTCCACTGTCTGAGGTCTTTCTCCAAAGAGAAGACTGTGCTCACTGTCTTCTGACTGCTGCTCCATTCTGCCCCGGTAATGTGGATTTCCCTTCCTCACATCCACCCCTTCCTGGATGCTGCGCCCCCAAAGTACAGTGGTCTTCACTGTGCCTTTGCTTTCCTTTTTCTCATTGCTTCACTTTTTCTTCACTCTGAGGTTCTTCAGCTCTTTTGTTTTCCACTTCCTCATGTGACTCACCAGCCCTCCAAAGTTTTCTTCATTCTAAACAGCTACATTCCCTACATGAGCCTCCCAAATTTGATCTCCCCACAAGATCCACCACAGACTCTATTGTGTAGAATTTTCTCATCTTGTTGGCAACGCTGCTGAACTCATAATGACTGCAAGGACCTAAAGTCATTGTCCCTCCCAGAAAAGCCCTGTGAGTTCAGGTTCACCTTCATTCCTGTGCATCTGCCATCCTGGCCGTCCAGCATCACCTCAGTTGTTCCTGCCCACGGAACTCTCTTCTTTAAAGGAGTCTTCTGTTCATGATGTGTTTTAACTAGGAGATTCATTTTAACTATGTACATTCTCAGTTCCAGCCTATACCAGACCATAACTCTTGCTTTCTTCAAATTAATTCCTTTGTGTATTTACTAATTCTGACCTTTCTTGTAGTTTATTATAGATATTACCATTGCAGTTACCTCCTGAGAGGTTTTGTTTTTCATTGCATAATATTCTAACAACATTAAGTCCCAATTAACTATGTTACCTCGCACATGACATGAAATTCCTCAGTGATTTCTGTGATATATCTTGCTCATGCAGACATTTCCATTTTATCTCTTAAACTCTGCAGTATGTTCCATACATGGGATTGCCTCCTTAATTTATCCCTTTAGAAATTACCCTTTATTGCCTAGTATATGGTGGAGGATAATGGCAGTGAGAAATGGCATACAAATACACCAAGAGCTCTCATTCTAAAAGAAGTAGACATAAAATCAATCAAAATAAAGACTGCTGTAATGAAATTAAGTCAGCATTAATGGAACAGGAAGAACCAGGGCTGGGGTTACTGCCTTGGGAAAGGAACACCTCTCTGAGGTGTAAGTCAGAGGTGCCAGGAGCTCCCTGCTCTGTCATCACCTTACTCCCACCATGCCCACCACAATAATGAGTCCACTGTGAGTCCTGGCTTCTTCCAAAATGTAGCCGGATTCCTCCAACTCTCTCCATCTGTGTTCACAAGTTGCAGCTGTTTCTTGCACATGTCTTTGCTTTCTTAAGTGGCTTCACCAAAGTGCAGCGTAGCCTTTGTGAACACAAGGACTGTGTTTTGTGCTCCACCTGGAGCCATGTTGGTACACAGTAGTCATCTGTGAAGAATGTGGAAGGACTGAGTCTGTCCCTCACCAATGTGGATGAGGTGGCCCTCCCACCTATGGTCTTATGCTACAGTAAATTGCTTGTATTTTACAGTTGGCATGCTTGGCAAGGCCAATAATTGGAATGTAGCCAAACTTGTGTTTATTTCTTTTTATTACATATACCAATGTACAAGGAACATGAAACATGGAGTTTTAGTTACACACATATCATCAGGTCATCACTAAAAAAGACATCTCGCATCAAGGTATATTTTTTTCATTACTTTTCTTTCAAATCAAGATGATGGAGGAATTCGTTTTCTTTCCTAGAAATCGGGAAACTTGATGATCATCTGCTGCAGAACAAACAAAGTGAAAGCATGGAGATTACCCTGGGACAATGGCACAAAAATAACATATTTGAAAATTGTGTCCATTGGAGCAAAAATCATTTTCTGTTACGACAAAATCATGATACATTTGATTCACATGGGGAAAATATGAAATCAAATTTATCTTTACTTAACCAGAGCAGAAGCTATAAAAACAAGAGGCCCACTGAACTTTCTGGAAATAGGAAATCTTTTCTCCATGCTAACAGTAAACAATTTCAGACGGAAATGAAATTCCTCGAAATTCAAGAACTCATCAGCACTAAGTCCCAACTCATCAAGCATCAGAAGAAACCTCAGAAAATAAGGAAACGACATGTATGCAGTGAATGTGGGAAAGCCTTCATGAAGAAGTGTTTGCTTAGTGATCACCAGAATCTTCATACAGGAGAGAAGCCCCATCAATGCAGTCTGTGTGGGAAAGCCTTCTCCAGAAAGGTCACACTGAACGAACACCGGAGATCACATACAGGAGAGAAACCTCATGAATGCACAGAGTGTGGCAAAGCCTTTCTCAAGAAATCACGGCTCAATATACATTATAAAATACATACAGGAGAGAAACCCTTTGTGTGCAGTGACTGTGGGAAACGCTTTATCCAGAAGGGCAATCTCATGGTACATCTGCGGACTCACACAGGCGAGAAACCTTATATATGTAACGAATGTGGAAAAGGCTTCAGCCAAAAGACATCTCTCACGACACATCAGAGATTTCACACAGGAAAGACACCCTTTGTGTGTGGTGAATGTGGAAAATCCTGCTCCCAGAAAACAGGTCTCATTAAACATGAAAGAATTCACACTGGAGAGAAACCCTTTGAATGCAGTGCCTGTGGGAAAGCCTTTATCGGGAAGCCACAGCTCGTTGTACATCAGAGAATTCATACAGGAGAGAGACCTTATGGTTGTAATGAATGTGGGAAAGCCTTTAGAGCAAAGTCAGTCCTCAATGAACATCAGAAAATTCACTCAGTCAAGGTGGTACATCCTCTCTCAGAGAGTCAAGTATCATCACAGCCTAGTGTGGTCCTGCAGGAGAAAGCACTTGTTAATACAGTGACTGTGCAGTTGCCTTCTGTGGCCCCTCAAACAGCATTAAATATCAGTGGGCTCCTAGCAAACAGAAATGTAGTCATAGTGGGCCAGCCTGTGGCCAGGTGTGCACCCTCAGGAGGATTTTCACAGGACAGAAACATTATGAATGCAGTGGGTATAGACTCGCCTTCAGTAGTCAATTACGTGTTATTTTATGTCACAGGAAACCAATAGGAAAAAACTCAGACATTCTGCGTGCAAAAGTTTGATCAAAAATTCCTAGTTAAGATTATGGTTGAAAATTGTCTCTTGAGAGAAACTATACATGCTGAGACTGGCAAGTCATGATATTCTCATCCTATTAAATACGTGCATTGACAGAGAGGCATAATCTGGTGTTAACCCGGACACATACGTCAGTTGGTCTATTGTGTCAATTAAAGGAATGAAAGAAGCTAAGTGAAGCCATTAAGTGGAGTTTTTAAAACACAAAAGTAATTTGTGTCTGGAAGGTTGCTGTGAAAAACCAGGGAGGAGGTAATAATGTGTTGGTGGGATATGGAGCATTGAATATATCAGTTCAGCTTCCATAGACCAAAGTGAAGGGTTAATTGAAAACTTGCATGTCTACCATACACTCTTAGCAGTTTATATTATGCAGAGGGATTATGAAAGAACAGGTTCATATTGAGTCAGTTCATTCATTTATATCAAGTTTTTTGTCAAATTCTTTATACCTAATTCTATTCCAAGAAATGAGGATAAACTGGTGATCAAAACAGAAACCCACCCTGGCTGGTGTGGCTCAGTGGGTTGAGCACCGGCCTGTGAACCAAAAGGTTGCTGATAGATTCCCGATCAGGGCACATGCCTGGGTTGCAGGCCAGATCCCCAGTTGGGGGTGTGCAAGAGGCATTTGATCCATGTTTCTCTCCCTCCCTTCCCATATCTAAAAATAAATAAAATCTAACAATTTTTTTAAAAAACTAAAACAAAAAGCCCAGAAACCCATGGTCTCTGGGAGAGAGCATTGAGGTAGTTGGGTTATCTTTAAGTTGTACCTTTATACTCCAGTTAATCTAGTGAGAGGATGTAATTGTCTTTATTAGGTGTAATGGACATGGAACAATTGATTCAAGGGGATATGACAATTTATTGTTAAAAGAGCATTATATTTTGAGAGATTGGGGAGGGACTCTTAGTGGCAGTTAAGTACCACAGAACATAAATAATTTTTTTTAAAGCCAAATTACTTTTCTCCAAAAGGAGATTATACATTTAAAAAAAATTTGTAGTGGCTTTACTTAAAATTTAATTGTTTAAAATAATTGAACTCCAATGAATAAAAAAATCAGTTCCTCCTTTGCACTAACCACATTCCACATGCTCAGCAGTCATGTGAGGAGTGGATATAGCACAATGAGCAAAACAGACCAGGAGAAAAATTACTATTTCCATTGTATCAGAAAATAATGTTGATGAGTACTAGATTCAATGATCTTACATTTCCCAGCACGTTAAAAAAAACAAATTATATATAGATTTGGAAAGTAAATGAATGAACTAACAGGCTTATCAAAACATATTTAGTCACTGATGAAGAGTAGTTCTAAAGAACAGAACTGTCACCTGAAATTGTTTAGTGTGTGGGAGTGGGATCAGAGGTTTATTAACTGATTACAAGAAGAGCAGGAAAGGGAAATGATTCCTAAAATTAATGGAATGAAAAACCAAAATGAGAATCTTAGTCTCTAAGAGTGGTGGAGAATATAGGAAGTGGGAGGTGACAGTTCTTTGGAATATTTTGGAGATAAGTCTGTAAATTTGCCCACAGGCTTGTCACCTGTTATAAAGATTATGGCTCTTCTGGGACCTGCTGAATTGAGACTTATAACTTCTGTCTCCCTCATTCCATGCCACTGTCTTGGGAGTGGGTTCCTCGCCTTCTTCTTTATCCAGAGTTCAGAGTTCTTTCACTTGATCTCATGAGACTATAATATACCAGTTACACACAGTGAGTCTTATTGATAGGAAAGGAAATGGAAATCGGCCATGCTGTGGTTGTCTCAGAATTTATTTGAAATTCTGATAATTTTCTCCTAGAAATAAAGTACCACAGTGCTTTGGTACTGTGCAAAAGTACAGTTTTACACACATGATACATCAGTGAATACAAGAGGCAAAGTTATGGAAATTTCAAACTGGATTAATGTCCCCATCACCACCCTCACGGTATACCTTGTGTAATGGATGAATTTGGGGCAGACTCCAGGAAAGAATTAGTCATGATTGCTACACCATCCAGACCTCCACTTCTGGTCCTCTGAATCTCCACATCTGGCCTTGGCATGGTCACATTGACTCATTTGTGAAACTGAATAGTCAGGGCTTCAGGACGGGCTGCCAGGCTTCCCTAAGCATTGAGTTCCCTGTGCTGAGTTCACCTTTCAAAGCTTGGCAGCTCCAGGTGAAGGCAGTCTATTGCATACCTAAGTCTGTGGCCACATCCACGATCCTTTTGGTTTCAATAAAGTCCACCCTTCTTTTTGCATAGTGCCTAGGAGTTGATCCTGCAGTCGCACTGCCTTACTGGAATCCTAAGCTTTGTGCTTTTGAGCAAGTTACGTGTATGTCTCAGTGTATCTTTAAAATATTATCTGCCTCAGGCTTTTTGTGAGAAGTCGATGTAGTTAAAAAAAAAAGTGCCCATCAAACAGGCAATTAATGAAAGAATCATTATTGGTCCTAGTGAGGGAGGAATCCCACTTTCCTCTCATATACTGGGTCATTATCTTCAGTTATCACTTGCAGTGAAGCTTGTGGGTTCCATTTACACAGGCCTCATCCCCAAATCTCACCAGGACTACAAGCCTTCCAGTGTTTTGTCTCCAGTCTGACACCTGCCTCGAACGTCTGGCTACACCAACTTCCTTATTCGTCCAAAGGCTCCTCTTGACATTAGTTCCCGGGGTGTTCTCTGCCCCAGTAAGATGTCGACCCTGGAGTGCTCCTCAGTTACGGCTCATGAGCAGTGCCATCTTTCTTTTTTGCCCAAAAGCCTACATGGAATACAAGCCGCTCCATGTTGGCTTGGAAAACTTACTCAGCACAGTGTTCTTGATACACAAAGACTCAGAGTTGACCAAAAGGTGACTTAAATTTCTTCCTGCTGCTGCTGCTGCTGCCGGGCCACAGACGCCTAGTTGGTCGCTTGGGTCTGGGCGTGGTCATACGTCATAGAATCACGTTCACAACCGGAACCAGAACTGGACCGTCCAGAAGCGTCCCTAGCAACAGCCAAAGTGAGAGCTTCGGTATTAGTGCACAGGGATGGCAATCGTTTTGGAAGAGAGTTGAGACTTTGCCAGCTGCCCAGAGCCTTGAGAAGCTCAGCAACAAGTGGGTCGAGGTCGGCGCGGGACAGCGGACTGGGGCCCTGTGATGCGAGAGAAGGGCTGTTTGGAAGACTTTTGGTTCGATCACTAGGGAGTCTTGGCTTTAGTGATCTTCCCATTGGCGATCACTGTTACTAACATATAAAGATGTTAATGAGGGTTCAACTCTCAGGTGGGTGATGCTGTGGATTTCATTGATTAAGGACTGAGGTGGTAGGTGTGTGTCAATGAACGCGGTGTCTTTTACAGAATCGTGATTTACAGAGGAGCTTGGATGTGGAGATGCCTGGGGGTTGGAGGTGGAGGTTAAGGAACGAGATTTCCTGGTTCAGATTTAGGATTTAAGTTGGAGTCAGGTTTTTGTTTTCTGTTTTTGGGGGAGGAGGCCAGTGTATGTCTGTAGAGACACATGAGGCTGGAGCTTTGCAGACCCAAGACTCTGGACAGTAAGTAGGCCGAGACTCTTACGTTGACTGTTAGAAACAGACTACGTGATACCTTCATCCAGCTGATCCAAATCCAGAGCATTTTTTCTTCAAGGTACTTTTTAAAAACTCTTTTGTCTTCCCAAGTAAATACTTTAGTCATTATCTTCCTAACAAAGTAGTTAGAGATGATCTAGTGTGTCATAAAAGATGTGTTTTGTTCTCTGCCTCCTGGTTTCCTCCAGTTGTCTTCGACATTCCCTTTCACATTCATTGTACACAGTAATGAACTCTTTTATCCTGAGCTCTGATCAGTGAAAGCATTGTGTGTGTCTTTTTCTTTTTATTTATTTTTTATCCTCATTTGAGGACATTTTTTTCATTGCCTTTAGAGAGAGAGAGGGGGCGAGAGAGAGAGAGAGAGAGAGAGAGAGAGAAGCATCGATAGGTTGCCCCCCCACCCATACACACTCAGACGGGTGATCGAACCTGCAACCTTTCTGTTACAGAACGGATGCTCCATCCATTGAGCCACATGGCCAGGGCCCATGTGTCTTTTTTAAAAAGTCTTTTGTTGCACTTCCTTCACATTTGGAATTATCTGTGTAGTATAGATATCCTTCCATTTCATCACTGAATTTCTAATTATAAACATATTTTTTATAATATAAAATGATTAGAAATTTTCTTAATGTCTGCAATAGTGGTGACTAGAGGTGAACTAGTGATAACTAGAGTCACATTCAGTGTGTACATTCATTTGGATAGACTTGACTTATACATTATATTTTTCTGCAACACACTGTGAGTCTCTGGTCATACAGGTTCATCCATCCACCTTCAGAATTTGTTGTGTCTCTTTTCCTGTATGTCTCAGACATTTCTGGTTACACTTATTCCTAGGTAAGTTATACTTCTATACAATTATAAGTAGTGCCTTTAAAAAATTCCCACTTCTAGCCCTGGCTGGTATGACTCAGTGGATTGAGCACTGGCCTGCAAACCAAAGGGCTACTGGTTTGAGTCCCAGTCAGGGCATATGCCTGGGTTGCAGGCCAGGTCCCCAGTATGGGGCATATGAGAGGTAACCACACATTGATGTTTCTCTCCCTCCTTTCCCCTCTGTCTAAAAATAAATAAATAAAATCTTTAAAAAAATCCTGCTTCTAAATTTTGTAATCTAATAGAGCAATTGCATTGCTCTTGGTATTACTGAAAGTGATTATTTTACATTTTCTAGTTGAGCAGTTTTATTATTTGCAAATAATTTTGGCTAAAGAGTAAGTGACATGAGCAAATTTTTTGTTTTAATAGTGCTTTCTCCCTTAGCTATGTACTTTGACCAAGGCTTTTCAAAGGAATTAATGTGCCTGAAAGCATAGAGCATATACCATGATATAAATTTTTCTCCATGCACTGATTTAGCTGCTTCTAACTAGTGTTGATATTTAAAATTTTCTGTGTCAGTCAGTGAATTTGTTTTTCATTGCTGTGTAACAAATTTCCGCAAACTTAGTGGTTTAGAACTACACATATTTATTAGTTTCTGTAGGTCAGAAGTCCAGACACAGTGTGTGTACCTGGGTCCTCTGCTTTCAGTCTTGCAAACCATAAATATGATGTCAGGCAGACTGTATTCTTATTTGGAGGCTTCACTGGAGAAGAATTTGCTTTCCAGGTCACTAAGGGAGCGGGTTTGTCTTAGGGAGCTTGTTAGTCTGATATGTGGGAGTCACAGAATAGAACAGAAAAAAATTATCCTCTCGATCTACACTGCTGTTTGGGCTACTGATGCTGGGGTTTCTTGATCTTGTAGATGTGAAAGGCTGCCTGCTCAACAGGCCCTGCCCCCCAACATTGACTCTGTCCTTCCCACAGTCTAAGGGGGATGAGGTGGTCTGCTTACCTCATCTTTTTTTAATAGTCAATTTCATTTTATCACCCTAGTCCAAGAGACTTAACAAATCTTTGTTTCAGAATGAATGACCTTAATCCCACATAACTATAGAATATATTTTGTGTTTGTCACATATATGCCTGTTTCCTGTTTTGCTAGGAAAGAGGCGTTTAATCCTGTAACAGTTTCTTTCCCACAGAGGAATGCTGAAACCGTCAATATGAGAACAGCTGTATACCAGTAGCTGTGGAATCACCTGAACTTTCTTGGTCCAGGTCCAACCAGTACCCCTACACAGCCTGTGTCACCTTGCTTCCCCCAACCCCTGCCCCTCTGTACCATCCCCCCTCCTCCAAAGTCTGTACTGTTCCCTAAAGCTTTCTCCACCCCAAAATATTCCCAATTTTGGCCCCCTGCCAAGGATAAAAGTTCTCCATCATGAGGACTCTTACACCTCCTTCAAGATGGCTGTGCCCACATGCATGAAAGGGGACTCAGTGGCTGCTGTGGACTTTAGTCTTAGTCCCATTTTCCCCCAAGGGAAAGAAAGATGGCATGGCGTTCTCAGAGTTGGCGCGTGGGCCACCCTGTGGCTGGCCCTTGAGAAGATGGAGCTGTCATGTCACAGCTGAGAAGTTCAGAGGGAGAGGCTGCTTTCTACTGCACACCTATAAAAACAACTGCCCTACAGGTGCCCTCTTTCTTTTCCCCCAAAAGCTCAATGTCCGGAATCTGAGTCCCTGGAGGTTCTTCATGTGACTGGTAGTTACTTGCTGAGAGGTGCTACTGAGTCTGTGCAGTGGAGGAGCTGGGAGGTTGCCAGACGACCCACACAGCCTGTGGCTGGCAGAGTGAAGTCATGAAGAGACAGGGTAAGAGGAGAAGTTTTGTGGGGTTCAGTGTTGGATGTCAGTGATGAGATCTGTTGGTGTCAGCCGCGTGGGTCTTGGGAGTCAATGAAGGGGTCGTACTGTGTTGATGGGCAGTGTATGTAGTCAGTAAGCAGGGAATCTGTGGAATCAGTGATTAAGGGAATCTGTGAAGTTGTTAATCATTAAATCTATAGGTCCGTGATGGGAAAGTAAGAACAGCCGTGGCATGGTGACTCTGTGGGTTCAAAGCTGGAGGCCTTGGGATCAGTGTTGAGGGTTTGTGAGGTCACTAATCAGGAATGCTGTGGGGTTAGTGATGGGGAGCTTTGAGGTTGTAGAATCAAGAATGAGATATTAAGATGAGATGGAGTTGTTCAGAGTTATAGGAGCTCAGAGAGGTCACTGATGGATGTAAGGTTTAATATTTATGATTGTTTGGGGGTCAGGCCATTAACTATAAGTGCAGACACAAAACTCAAGCTTCAGGGAATATTCTCCAAATAATTTACTTTTACAGAAAAATTCCAGGGTCACCTGTGGCCTTTTTGGAAGATATTGTAAGAATGACCAAGACAGAGGTACCAGGGCACTCTAGGGCAAACAAATAATATCCTTTTATAATAATTGTTTTGCTTTCCAAGTCCCTGAGGGATGCTCTGCCTGTGAGGCATCTTAAAACCCATCTACCTATGCAATGCCCCACCTTCTAGTCCTGCTCTTTTCTCTCCCATGACAGGGACCTACCCAAATAAATTACATTTTTCTTCATTTTGACATGGATCAGTTGGCTCTCTCAAGTCTACACCCTAATCTGAATACCCAAATTTATTGTGATTCAGAGGGTAGGTGAGGTTATGCTTTAGTGTAACCTAAATTTTAAGAGAATATAGTTCTATCTTTCTACCTATTTACCTGCCTACCCACCTGTCATCTATTCTGTTCTGAAGCACACCTGTGGTTATTACAGGAACTGTGAATGTGTGACTTCATCCTCAATACTTAGAGATACTGGCAGAAGATAGACGATTCCTAGGTTAAAAACAAAAGATTTTATTATTCACGGCACAGCAGGGAGAATGAACCTGCTGATCTCAAGTTCCCTTGCTGCCCTCACTCTCAGTTCCAATTCAGGTGGTGGAGAAAGGCCCAGGTGAACGTTAGCATGCGGTGGGTTTGCATCATTCATGAGAAAGCCTGTGTAAAGGAAAACCCAATTTGTAAAAGTTGGCTGCTAGCAAACCTGTTCCACTTTTTGAGACACTCTTTTTATTTATCTGTATAGAAAATAAGGCTGTCCACTGTTCCAGAGGGTGACACTGTCCCTATCTTCCAAGGTTCTGTTTTACACAAACATCTCAGGGAACACAGTCCCAAATACCTCTCTCCATGAAACCTGTGTACCTCAGAAACCCACAGAGAATGGTCTTCCAACATTACCTACCTAGCACATTTTATTATTTTTAGATTTTTATTCATTGAGTTTTAGAGAGAGAGGAAGGGGATAGAGAGAAACAGAGAAACATGGATTTGTTTTTCCACTTATTTATGAGTTTATTGGTTGCTTTTTGTATGTGCCTTGACTGGGGATTGAACCCACACCCTTGGCATATCGGGATGACCTTCTAAACAACTGAGCTACCTGGCCAGTGCTCAACACGTTTCTTGACTGTATCAGCTCCTGGCACAGTTTTTCCACAAAAACATCATTTGTTCAAACACTGATTAGTCTGACAAAGGACTGGAACCAAATCCTTTTAATTTACCTCAAGAAATATTTGATTAAGACTTCTATCAAGAGAATACTTTGTATCAGAATGAGGGTAACCTTCTTCATTCACCTCTTCTATGCACATGTAGTTTGTACATTCAAGCATTGGCAATACCCCAGTACCCATTAGGGTCTACTTTAGGAAAGACATATAACTTCTTCTTAAGATTCTGTATTGATTTTTTAAGAAGGATGAGTGAATGAATAACCAAACATTGTGAAAAAACATAGAATATACTTGTTTCCGATAAGATTAGGGGTTTTGTATTCTTTATCCACACAAGGCAGAGCCTGGAGACTGGATTCACAAATCATGAGCAGAAAGGGGCTGACATTTGGAGGACACACAGAATTTAGGGCAGCAGTGCCCACCAACCAAAAACTGGGATTATAGAAAAGAGAAATACAGATGTGAGAGGTGGAAGAGCGGGTATGAGAAAACACAAAGGTGCTCACCAGGACAAGGGTGCTCTGGGTGGCTCTGGACTCAGCGGAGGAGAATCTGGGGGAGACATTATTCCTGTGAATGTGTCAGACCCTCTGCTTGTGTCTGTACAGGATGAAGACCATGGTGCTACTAGCCCAGGACATGGAATACTAATAATGCTGCAGACAGTGATCCTGTGAATGTCTTATGACCAGAAGCAGAACATCCAAAATCCCATTTCTTTCTGATGTTTTTCTACTCCATTTCCCAGAAACAAGCAACACATATGTAAGGAAAATAAAATTCACCTTCATGTACCCAGCATGTACTTCATGATCCAGCAAAGGGAAGTGGAGAGGTCAAAGTACTTAGGTGCTTTTTACTTTAAGATCCTTCCAACGGGAGTTCATGAGGTTCATCATGATGTTATGGAAGAGAGCTTTGTGCTAGAAAAAAGTTGTGTGCGTGCGTGTGTGTGTGTGAGGGGGGGTTCTTTAATGAGAATTTGGTCATAAGTTTAATATGATTTGATTTGACATTTCACCTACATGGGTAATGTATTGTGTGTTCATTTAAAATATTTCCTTACCAGAGGTAAAAAAGATTGGGGAAGGTAGAAGAGGGTACAAGGGGAATAAACAGTTATGGAAGGAGATTAAATTTGGGCTGGTGAACACACAATACAATATACAGTTGATGTATTGTAGAATTGTATACCTGAAACCTATATAATTTTATTAATCTCTCACCCCAGTAACTCAATAAAAAATATTATTCTAAGACAACAAATAATTTAGCTTTTTAAACATTTCATAATTTATCTTTAATATTTTGATCAGTAACCCATTTATTGACTTATCGTATAGTGTAGGTGTTGACTGAGGTGTTCTTTTTGAAATGAGAGCAACAAATTTCAGTTTTCTGTCACTTCTCATTGGTTCCTCCAGGCTCACACAACTTCATTTTTAGTGCTGACTTTTCCACAAAATATACTGGTGATTATCTCCATCTTCTCCTGCCTCTTAAGGACTGTGGCTGTCCCACAGAAGCAAACAACAAAAATTACTCTTTATTTTAGTTATTGATTAATTTGAGAGAGAGAGAGAGAGAGAAAGAGAGTGAGAGAGAGAGAGAGAGAAAGAGAGAGAGAGAGAGACATCAGTTTGTTGTTTCACATATTTATGCATTTATTGGTTGATTTTTGTATGTGCCCTGACCAGGAATTGAGCTGGTGACCCCTTGGTTTGCAGGCCAGTGCTCAATCTGCTGAACCACACCAGCCAGGGCTAGTCTATTAACTTATTCATCATTAAACTTCCACATTATTAGAATTGTTATTACTTTAAGGCAGTGTGATAGGGACTTATTTGATAGCTGTGAGCTCTCTCTTTCCCCATTTTAACTCTTATGAAGTCTGGGTGTCAGAGAAGTAGAGGTTCTTGTCTGAAGTCCCTTAGTGAGTACATAGGCTAACTAAAATGAAAATACAAGCATTCTTTCTGCAAATCTTGTGCATTCAAATGTATACTCCCTGTGTAAAACTAATCTCAACCAGCAAGTTGATCTACTCTGAAGTAGCCCCAGGATATCTTTGTAGGGGAATATTGAGAGTATCTCAGGTGTAGTAATTTTGATTTTAGGTTTTCTCAGCATCTCCATGGGGTTCTTGATATTTATAGTGTCACTGAGCTTGCTGGGGTCCTCCTGCTTCCTCTGTTGGGTTTTCATCCTGACAACAATGGTCAGAGTCTACAGACATGAAATTTTGGTTGAGTTCTCAGAAGATGTGACTGTGTTTAGTGTTCCTCTTAAAATGAATTTTCTCCTGAATCCACTGCTCCCACCTTCCTAGGTACAAAACTGGTAAGTGAAGTAAGGAGGAGAATGTTACAGCACCAGGAATCCATCTTTACCCAATACACTCTTAAGTAAAGACCACTTACTGGAGATTTGGGCTGACAGAACAGATCCAAAATTCCTTGCCCCTATTAGAGGACAGGAAAAAATGAACAAGTCTCAGATGAATGGTTGCTTGTTGGCTTATTAATTTAAATATTTATTTGCTTGTTGGTTTATTGATTGACCCCTTGCTTCCCCAATGGATTTGTGGTGGTTTTAACAATTTGTATGATAAAGTGAAAAAGTAAAAATGGAAAATAATTAGAAGAAGGGGGGAAATACTAAG